TGTGATAGAATAATATGAACATTCGCATGCATTAAAACTTCTAAATTTAGCTAATGCATGATTTATATAAAATTAAAAGGCCACTTCAACAACTACATTTAAACACTTCAGAGCCGTTCGGTGTGAGCCAAGGCTCCGTGTTGAAGACCGTACTTTGACCTATAACGGTTTACTTTTATAAATTTTGACTTGGATGGAGAGTTGTCTCATTGGCACTCATGCCACATCTTCTTATATCTAAGTACTGCTTTGATGGTTAAAGATATGTTTTATTCAAGGAATGACTGTAATATTTTTTTCTGTCTATAAAGAAATACCATCAAAAAATGTAATGCACACTGAATAGCCCGCGTGTGCACCTCATTTTTGAGGTTATTTCGAATAGACAGAAAAAATATTACAGTCATTCCTTATAATATAATTTTAAATTCCATTTTTAAGGAATACATCTTGAAAAAACGTCAATGACGCCACGGTCACATGACAAAATTATGTTTATGAGCTGATAGACAAAAAAACTTTTAGCCAATCAGAAGACGTGTTACATCCAAAATTAAATCATTCAAAACTAGCATCAAATCAATATAAAGGTTGCATATTACAATGTATGTCCTGAGTTGTCGTAAAATAACGAAATGAATGGTTATCTGTTTCATCATCTTTGGCTAAACAAATGAGTAAAGACATATTTCAAAGTTTTAGAATGGCTTTGGACAAAGGTATTGGTAAATATTTCCTGATTTTCAAACTGAAAAAAAACCTGCGTTTAAACATTATAAAAGTCATATTGTATTTCTAAAATGATATACAATTGAACCTCGTTAAGTCGAAGTCGAAGAGACAGGACGAAAGTATTCGACTTATTCGAGGTTCTACTCATCTGAGGTCGAGTGTCATTTTGAATGCATAAAATACAGTATGAGAATTGTGTAAGCTAAATATTTTGATCAGTGTGCCTTTTACTCGATGTGACAATTTATGATTTTGTATTCAAGTTCCATATTTTTTGCATGTATCGTCTCTCTATAAATAAAAACAAAGGTCAGTCACTATAAAGTATGGAACATGTATAATTGAATAATTTACAAAAACCCGTGAATAAATTCTTCATAGATACCAGGTTTAAAATTTTGTATGCCAGACGGGCGTTTTGTCAACAAATAACTTATCAGTGACGCTCGAATAAAAAAAGGGAACAAAAAGACCAAATAAAGTACGAAGTTGAAGAGCATTGAGGACCCAAAATTTCGACTTCGATAGCTCTGTAAGATATCCGTTTTATTATACAGAAAAAAAATGTTGTCTGTTCGTCGTTTTCCTTGAAACATGACGGAAGACAATTGATTAATTGTATAGTTATCAACAGAAAACATTTTTTCAGTAAACACCTTTTGTTATTTTGAAATTGAACGATAATTTTTTAAAACATACAACACTATAAATTTGATTGCACTGTAAATTTCTTTTCTTTAGGCGTCTGCTCAACGTTCTTTATCAAAGCTGTTGCAATACTGTTCCAGTTAAGTGAAGATGGAAACAAGTATATATATATATATATATATATATATATATATATATATATATATAAGGCCTACATGTAAAGACTTCTGATCAAATAGTTAGATAATGCAGTTGTCACAGAGATTGCAAATGATGTTCAGATACGATATAATAACCCTGGTATTAGTAGCGTCAATTGTTCAATCAATTCAAAGTAAGTTGTTTATCTTTTATTTGTCAATTTATATCAACATTTGTGTTAGTGGCGTTTAATTGTTCAATAAATTCAAAGTATATATATCTTTTATTTGTGAAACTAATTTTTGGTATCCTTAGACACAATGTCTTCAATATTTTCTGAGTGTAATGTAAATACGGACTTTTTTGTTGAAATACGATCAATAGTAACCCTAATGTTTTTCAGTTACATAAATCTAGAAATATATATTGTTGAAAATACTTCTGCATCAGTCGTTTGTCAATTTTTAAAAATATTTTTCTTGATAATTTGTGTCTTTTTTTAATGAATAGTGAACCTAATAATTTTTTTTTATCAAATATGGAACATTTGTTTAACTCTTATTACCATGAACAGAAAAGACTTCAACATCAGCACAAAGTAATCAATGTCTACTGATGAAAAATAAACAAAAGTATATGTAATCAATGAATTCGACACTGAAAACTTCACAGATAAACACAATAACTCACAAACTAACATAGTGCGTATATTAATGTTCACTGTTGTGAGGCCAAATTCGAATAATTTTCTAAATTTGTATTTATAAATAAATTTTGGATGAATTATTGTTTTTATGACTGATAACGTAAATAAAGTATTCAATTCAAGGAACTTCATATTTTTCCGTGTATTTCACACCGTCTTGGTGCAACGTCTTTGGCAACAATGGTTTGACCCCAAAGAAATTAAATTAGAAAAATTATTTTAAATGCAGTGACAAAATGGTCTTTATTTTAAAGGAAAACCACAGTATTTCATTGCAACCAATGTAAGAATATAATTTATCTTTAAATAGGTTTAACGATTAGCACAATGTAACAGTGTACGTTTAACTTGATGATGTTTGGACACATATCATATTCATTTCAGGTAAAAAGTGTAACAAAAGTCACCCAGACGGATCCTACGAAGGTTAGTTATTACTAGCTTATATCAAATGTTCATATTTTAAACCTTAATTTTTCTGTTATTGTGAAGACTTTCTACTACGCTTTGTCAAATAGTAGATAAGGGAATTTATCGCAATTTTTCAAAAAAAATTTCATATAGAAAATGCCGTTTGATGCAAGTTTACATTGGAGTTCTTTATCCTCACATTGCAGTTAAAACTTTTGTTAATCAATTTGAAATGGATTCCCTGATAAGTAGACAAGATTGTTGATTATTTTTTTAATTTACATTTATTCATGCTTGTATGTTATGTTATGTTATTTCTATTAATATTTTATAATATAAAGATCGATGAATTCAGAATCATAAATCAATATATAAGGTTATCCGTTTTCCAGATACATTGTCGTATATGAATAACATATTATATGGAATATATGTCAATGAGGCACTAACCCAACAACACATACACAACGCAACATACAATTAGAGGTCTATATACTCATGGCATTTATTTATTCATTGACCAGCTTGACAGAACCGATGTTATGCTATTGAGGTGCTAATGCAATAAGTTTAAATATTGAATATGTAATTACCATACTAATAAATGTATGTACGGTTGGCTTCACATGAACACATTGATACAATTTAAGCAAACAGAAAAAGAATTATACATTTCAAAAACACGAGAGCAGACAAGGAAATACTACATCTTACAAGAAATAACTGTCTGATAATAATTGAAATATTTATTATGATTAATATGCAGAATTTCTTTAACTGGTCACCAAAATATCCTGTCTCTTATTTCAGAATTTTATAAACATTTTATTGTAGTTACATGTAATGATCCAGAGACTAGAAGTTGTGGTAATGCGAGTGTACTTATTGAAGTAGGAGGCACTACTGTAGGCACAGAGGCAAATTTGTCCTGCTTGAATGGATATACCCTATGGGGGAGTGATTCCATCGTATGTTTAGATTCAGGGCAGTGGAGTCAACTAAATGCATATTGTAAGAAATTTATCTATATTTTTTCTATACATATTTAACTATTGTTTTGGCATACTTGTAACACTCTCAGTAAAAGCGGTATATACATATTAGTACTTTGATAACTTCTTAAAATTACGACATTGATATGTGTGCCGTTCTATATCAAGCCCCAATTCGTAGCCAGTAATCGTTCCACAAAATGTGTGTTTAAAAGCTGTTTAGCTCAAATAGAGATTGAGTCTCTGCGCCCCATTTCAATTCTAATGGATTTTATTAAAAACAACTTTGTCGCATGTTTCGATAAAACATGCCCTGTTACAAGTTGGGATATAATCGTTAATAAATGTTTCCTTGTTTGCTTGATATGAATTTATCCTTAATACAGTAAAATAGTTAATTATACTTTTTCAAAAATGTATATCTGCTCTTGCTGTTTATATATAAATGTAATATTTTTGAAATCACTTAAATATGAAGAGTCTGGAATATATGTATCGAATTTCTATACCCACATATATTGATTATATTATGTAACACAATTATTCGAACAGTTCGTCCCTTATAACATTGCATTGTTTATATTCATATACAACTTTTCGGTCCATTGACATAAACAAAATAGGCGATATTGGACCGGTCTAATTCAGAATACGTCATTTCAAGTATTGAAAAAAAAACCGTTTCAAAATTCCCCTTATTCAATTAATTGGAGCAGTCTGACTAGCGCTGAATGGATTAATTTGGTTTTATTGATTTTTCATTTTATTTGTTACTGTGGATTCATTATTATTCATGAGATACTATTTTTTTTGTGAATTTCGTGAGTTCAGGTAAACCACAAATTTAAATGATAAACGAAGTACATATGTTTTATAGGCCTGTATGCAGACTCTTGTAACACCACGTTGATCTGATGCGTTTAACCCGTTTCAACTGATTTTTATTGTTTGTTCTTATGTTGTGCTGGTATACCACTGTCCCAGGTAAGGGCAGGGTTGGCGCCCGTAGACGTGTTTAACCCCATCACATTCTGTATGTGCATGTCTAAAGTCAGAAGCCTGTAACTCAGTGGTTGTTGATGCTGTATATTATATTTTATTTCGTTTATTGTTTTGTACATAAATTAGGCCGCTAGTTTTGTCGTATGAATTGCTCTAAAATTGTCATTTTTGGGCTTTGTATAGATTGCAATCCATTAAAAACATTTTCCCTTAATCCACGAAGATTGGTACCCATTAACAATCAATGAATCCACGATGCTAGAGTTGAACTAGATTTTGTTCGGAGAGCCCATCCGAAATGAGGTAGAAGATCTAGTACTTTATTTACTGTTACAGTATTACTATTACTCTGATTTTACTTTTTTAAGGTATTCCGGATGACATCGGAGATCCAAATATCCAGTCATTCGACGGGTCAATATACTTATTTAACACTGGGAGTAATTATAGTCAAGCAAAGGTAACCATTGTTATTACTTAGTATATTGGAAGTAATAAATTGTGATAAAATATATCTGTTTCTATGAGCTAATTTCACAAAACAAGGAGGCATTTGTGACTATCCAATATTTCTCGGCACAAAGGTATTGAAACAGTAATACAACAACCATCAAACCATAAACGTTAAACAGTCTTCGCAGTCCATATTGTATATCAAGATGTCGTTGTTCAGTGTAAAAAAATGTTCCCGGGTTTACCGTTTGCCATTCATGATGCGAAAAGTTTTGAAATAACAGGCTATCGTCAATGCGGGATTGAAAGATACGAATAAAAATGTTGGTTGAGTATTGCTTTCCTCTTTGAGAAACTGTCACTTGTGATTAATATATTTACTTGCGAATACTCATTAATTTCATTTGCAATAAATTGTTGAAAGGTGATAATATTATATGTATTGTTTATCTAAGTACTACAGGTTCTATACACTTTTAATAAAATTTTGAAGGAATACTGTACCAACATTTGTTCAACACTCATCGAAATAAATAACCAGGAGGAAGATCAATTCCTTTATGAGACATTTCAAATCTTAGAAATAGGTAAGCTCAGACTATGTAAGCATAACTATTATTGGTGTGTTAATCAAGAACTGACAGAATTATGACGTGTTTTGCAGTATATTCAATGGATAAAATAATATTTCTTTTGGTTATGTTTTAAGACAGAAATATTTTGGTGCACAAATATATTTGAAGTGACTTCACCCTGAGATCACCCACGGTTTTTGTTGGGGTTCGTGTTGCTTATTCTTTAGTTTTCTATGTTTTGTTTGGTGTACTATTGTTTGTCTATTAGTCTTATTCTTATTTATTGTCATGGTGTTGTCAGTTTATTGTCGACTTATGAGTTTGAATGTCCCTTTGGTATGTTTCACCTCTCTTTTATATCTAGTAAGTAAAATCAATAGGGATCTTCCTTTTAATATTTGAGCATATACGCAAGCAAGCCCATATGTAGTGTTTGATTTATTATCCGGAAACTAGTTATTTGCTCAAATTAGTCTATTTTATTGAAGGTTTAACCTTTAACTTGAAAGTAGTGAACTCAAAACCAATAGGGATCGTCATCCCATTACACGATCATATATCCAAGTATAGATGCAATGTGTGATATTAGTTAAGCATCCTGGAACAACTTTGCTGCAAAAATTAAGATTATATTTAGTAACTGTTACCTTGACCTTTTACATAGTGACCTCAATATCAATATGTATTCCTCTCGTTATTGTATGTATTTGACGATGTATCCAAGTACAGTTGCAATCCGATATACATTTTTGGATATAGAACCTGGAAAATAATGACGGTCGGACCAAAAGATATATACCCACCCTCGCTACTTCGTAGCGTTGACTTTAATTATTATTTTGCGTATGTAAATAAAAACTTTTAATTAAAAACATGAAAATTAACTTTCATACGGAGAGACATTATTATAAATTTTATAACATGACCTTGAAATATTTGGTTGATAAATTTAGAAATTGTTAAGAAACTTAAGTTCCAACTCCTTTTGGCAAAGTTGACTTTAGATGGATGTGTCTATTCTTTTCATGTCCCTTTTGGTAAAAAAAACGCTTGAAGTGTTTGAGTATTTGTTACAGTATTGGCTTTCAAATATATTGACTTGATCGTTCCTTATAGAAATAAATAAAGAAAAGCGCTGGACGCACCCTATTTATAATTGATATCTTTATTAAATGTCTGGACCAGTATGCATAAAACATCGAAACTTAAATGTTCCCAAGAATAAGTAATCACTAAGAATTTCATGAGTTACGTAAAGTGTGCAAGTCGTATGCATAATATTACTTAAGTCTTCACTTAACTAAGGAAAACTGAAATCGGAACCTTTTTTTAATCACAGTTTGATAATTGCTAGTTATTTGCATGTACTCACCCGTGAATTATGTTGATTTAATTGTTTACATTGATTGAACAATGCATATGAATAAATGGCGCTGTTTAATTGAATTTAAAAAATACAAAAAACACTAAAATATCCAAACAAATGCCAAATTGGCCCGATGTAGACAATTTTGTTTTGATGGACGAGCATTGGAAGAAAAAAATATATACACGTATATGTAAAGAAGAAAATATATCGAAATTATCCACATCAATTTTTTTATAGCAATCTGATTAAACTTCAATCACAGAGGATGTCGCTACATGAGGAAATGTTGATTACTCAAAATTATCTCGTTGCAAATCATATAGCTTAAGAATGGTATATGTTAGTAAATTCTTATCTGAAAAAAAGTTCCAAATCATCGTATATATATCAAATAGATTTATCTCATCTCAAGGTTGAGTTAATTTTTCATGGGTGTTGCTAGTTGGAGGTGCATGTTCTCCCCCAGAGACATACATACCTTTAACATTCCTAACAATACGAGATCACAATTTTTAAAAATCATTAGATACGATTAGAAATAAACTGTTTTTATCACATCACTTCTACAACATTAAACAATCGGGAGGGTCAATTTTCCATGAATTCATTTCACGCCAGGTGCATTTAAATTAAATATTTTTTTAATTTCACTGAAACCCATAGTATGCGATATATATGTGATATGTAAGATTTTAACAATTTTTTGCGTATTTTAGAAAATTTCAATTGAAATTCATAAATGCCTGAAAATGACTCAAAACTGCATTTTGCTAGATTTCGGAACATTTGATAAATTATTCAAACAATGATATTTGCAACCAAAACTAAAACTCTACTGGTAATAATAACATAAACTGACTTTAAGATTTAACTTAAATTATTTTGTTTTAATTGTGCCTTCTATACAAATTTCAAAATTTGCAATATTTTCGTTAAAATAAATACATGAAATATATCACTGAATATTTACGGAAATGTGAAAAATAATTAAATACAGTTAAAGTATGTTAAAGAGATTACGAATTCAAGTTGTTACTCAATTCACCTTTCTGATTTTGTCCCAAGTATTGAAACTTTAGGAGACTTTTTATCTTCGTCTTAAGAATCAAACTATTTAATTGAAAAACCAATGTCCCCCCTTACTCAGAAAACAGGATTGCGCATCCCTAAAGATTATCATCGCTTTCTTCATACATTTTGTACTAGCAATTTCTACCAGGCAATGTATTTGGACACCATAATGTTCAAAGTTATTCATATATATAAGCATGCGCGAACAAAGGAATCAAAAGAGAAATAATAGCATGAACTCCATGCGTGTAAATAAAAGTGAGCCATTTTCGAGAAAAACATATAAGTGAGATTGAAACTAAAGTGTAGGATGAAATGATATTACTACCCTCTCTAATCTCTAATTGTGTTTAATATTCGTGAATTCAAGAAAATTAAAATGATAGTAGAAATTTAGCCCCCACCAAAAAAAAAAGACAGAAAATTAAAAACCCGAAGAATTACAGATATTATTATTGATTCATTTAATGAGAACTTATGTTTCCATTTTCTACGAAACAGTATATTTTCAACTTCCTTTAGCAAGTGGTCAATTCGTCAATAATACAATTCAAAAAGGTTCTTTACCACTTTTTTTTTTACCTTTAATGAAGAAATATGAAATTATCCATGCACATAGTAAATATACTTATTAGGAACGCACGCTCAATATAAAACAATGGAAATGCTAAAACTACTTAAGAAAGGTCATGTCTTAGTTTGAACCATCCCAACAACTTATTAACTATGAACTGTTATACGTTAATTGATACCTTTATTGCAAGTTTTCTATCTTCAGATAGTTTGTGGATAGGAATAGAGTCAGTAAATGGTGGAAACTTTAGTTGGCAGTCAGGCAATACAACACAGACAAACATGTATGCGAACTGGGACTCTATAGAACCAGTTGATCCGGAGGCAGGAACTTGTGTTTTAGCAACTTCGCAGTATTCGTTTTGGGCACCAGTAACAGAAGATTGCAAGTTTCCAACTGGCTTCGTCTGTGAATTCGGGTAGATACTTCATCTTTTTCTTACTTTACTTGATACGTATTTTAGATTTAATATTGTGTATTTAAAGAAAATTAAAGGACTTAACACGGGAAGTAAAATGGACTCAATTTCTAAACAATCATACATTTATTTGACAGTATAATGTTATTTAAGGCCTCACTACGATACTGGAAGAAATTTGTAACGTTTGTGAATGAATTAACATCAACTCTGTAATATTGCGTTTAGATCTTTACATTGAATTGCGTTCTCTATGATATTCGAGAAGATGGGGATGATTAACCGTTTTCCCTGCAATGTAAATGTATAACTTATATCGGTTAATTTCTATCACATATTTAGCCTAGTGCGAATTTTTGAAAATTATTAGTATACCAATGGTGTATGATTTAAATGAAGTATATGTGTATATCTTTTGATAATGTTTACCCGTGTAATACAATGGTAACCACCCTATCCTCAATGTTCACTGTCAGCTTGATATAGTTATTCACCGGGTATACATTTACATTTGATTAAGTTATCTTGTTATTGTCTATGCAATGTCTTATTAGGAACACCTTAATATACTCAGCCCAATAAATAACGCACCTTTCCCCATATGTATTAATTTCACAATTATTTGTTGTTATAAAAGATTTCAAAACTTTATTATATTTTGAGCCTAATATTAAAAAAAATCCACGCTTCGGGAGAAAATGTTGTTTTATTGGCGATAATGGGAATTTCATCCAATAAAAGTAAAAGATTAAAAGTCTGAGATATGTCAATTTAAAATTTGCCATTATATATATAGAAAAAGATCGATTAAGAAACTGAACATCAGAGTCATTCTCTTTGTTTTCAGGTGAAAAAATACATACCATTTCAGTTATCACAAACTTATTTACATCTTTCGTTTTTGGGTTAAAAATAAGTTTTTGAGAAGTAAACAATGAAAAAAAAAAATTATAATTACATAAACATTTACTCATTCCAATAACTCTGAAAGTTATAAGAAAACAGTTATTTTTATTTCGAAGAAGTTGGTTCAAGTAGTGCCTTTCTTTTGTTTTTGGTTATATATATAACCCTAATTTACGATTTTCTATATTCCAGGAGCAACTGATTTCAAGTACGAAGAAAACAAACAGTGTAGTGCATGGATGTTTTGTTAAAATAAAATATAACAAAATCTATATATGTTATTTGTAAGCTTATACATCAACATTTATGTGTATCTAGTTGCAAGAAATTTCCTCAAAATATAATATCATCTTCCAAAGCAAGATGTTTAAGTTGCCAAATGCGTTTATACATAAAATTGACGCTGATCGTGCAATCTATATCAAAATAAGATGTGGTATAATTGCCAATGAGACAACTCTCCACCAGACACCAAATGACATAGAAATTAACAACTGAAGGTCACTGTACGGTCTTCAATTAAAGCAACAGTAGTATACCGCTGTCCAATAGCCATAATTCTATTAAGCAAAAACAAATCCGGGTAACAAACTCAAACCGAGGGAAACACATGAACTATAAGAGGAATACAACGGAACAACAGAAACTTGAATTACAACAAAAGCAAACGCCAACATACAAAGAAACGGACTATCTGATAACAACTGCCATATTCCTGACTTGGTACAGGACATTTTAAGAAAAATTGGTTGGTTGAACCTGGTTTTATGGCTAGCCAACTTCAACAATGAGCACACCTCATACCGCACAGTCAGTTATAAAAGGCCCCGAAAGCAATCCAACATATCTTGTATTTTCCAAGATGGATAATAACAACATGAATAACGAGTTGATGAAAATACAAAGTAAAACGTAATAAATGTCTATCTAGTAATTTGAATTTAGATACTCAAAATCTTCAAGAAGTCAAAAACATGATAACCTTATAAAACGCTACATGAATATTATCAATCCATTCAGTGTGCAATAAAACTAACAGTAGATAACCGATTTCGTAAATCCACCCCTAAGGTTCTATACTTGGTCCTCAATTGTTTGTGTTATTGATAAACGACCATCCCTTATGTATTGAAAATTGTGAAACAGACCTATATGATGATGACACCACTCTTTTTCAATCAAGGAACACATAGAAAATATACATGATGATGTTCAAGAGGATTTCTACAGGGTTGAAGAGTGTTGCAAAATGAATAACATGTTCATCAATACAAATAAAACAAAATGTTTGGTTACTTAAACAAAGCAGTAACTATCAATTCAGACTTATCAACCAAACTTAATAATAAATTCAAAAGTACTACAAAATTCTTCATGTGAAATATTTTTAGGTGTTAAAATTGACAGCACACTTAGCTGGAGAAATCAAACTGACCAAGTGTGTGCTAATATATCATCTAGAATATACCTTCTTTCTAGAATAAAGAAATTTTTATATATAAGTGCTAGGAAAACATATTACAATGTGTATTTTCTGTCCCTAATTGACTACTGCTGTATTATTTGGGGAGAATGTAAAAATAAAGGGATAACAAGAATATTAAATCTCAAAAAAGGGCAGCAAGATTAATTCTAGATACAGATCCTTTATCCCCATCAGCCCCCTTATTTAAAGAACTTGGGTGGATGATAGTTGAAAATAGAATAAAATACCAAAAATATTTACTTCTATATAAATGTGAAGCACCAATGTACCTAGTTCAAAAGTTTAAACTGAAATCAGATAATAATCCTTACTCCTTGAGATGTGTCACTCAAGATAATCTGATAGTTCCTAAGACAAAAGCTGAGCTGTTTAAGAAATCTTTTGTTTATTCTGGATCAGTGTTATGGAATGGACTTCCACACAAAATGCGTAAAACTCAAAACACTTTTACTTTTAAACAAAGTATCAAGAAGTACTTAAGACAATCCAGATAATATTCTGTTTTCTACAATGTATATATTTTATTTTATTTAGATTTTATTTTTTGATTTTTTTACTACATGTACCTCTTGAAGAGTTTTATATCTTATCATGATAATAATAATACATTGAATTACTTGACTGTAAATTAACTATGTGTGAATATCTGTTTTTGATTACATTGTAATTTCTATGTGAGGGCCTCAGGGAAGATTAGTTTGTTGTAACTAACTGTGTTTACCTTCTTTAATAAAAGAATTTATTATTATTATTATATACAAAACAAGATAAACATGACAGCAAACCCGGCTTTTCTTACACTTATTAGTTTTATTGTTAAGTCAGTAAAGGACCAAACACTAAAATGGTAAACACCCAATCCTCATTCCCATTTGGCATGAGAAATAACAAATTGATATTTGAAAAACATTGAAACGAGTGTTCAAAAAATGTCATATGGAAGAAAATAAAATGTATTTTCTAAACGGACACCATACTTCTCGAACGATAAGAATGAGTATCGTAAATATCGAACTTGACCTATATTTTGTCAAGAGAAACATCACATTATAATTTAAAAATATTAGGATCAAGCGGTATCAAATAATCGCACGGAGACGACATAAAGGCAACAGTAGTTTACCGCTGTTCAATAGTCATAAATCGATTTAACTGAAACAAATCCTGGTCACAAACCAAAACCGATGGAAACACATCATATATAAGAGGAAAATAACGGAACAACATAAACACTGAACTGCTACAAAAAAAAAAACGCCAACATACATAGAAACGGACTATTTAATAACAACTGTCATATTCCTGACTTGGTACAGGACATTTTAAGAAAAAATGGTGGGTTGAACCTGGTCATTTCCCAATCAACCATGGACTATAGTTCCTGAACGGTAAAACAAATTATCATCAAAATACCGAACGTGACCACAACTTTGATATCATAAAAAACATATTTCAGTTTGAATGGCATCGGTTGAACGGTTCTTTAATTATTGCAAGGAAACAGCTTGAGCCTCTCAACATCGTACTCTCCTGGTCAATAACCTGATATTCGACGGAGAACAAGGTTATCAAAAAATACAAACCCAGAGGGAATCACGTGACATCTGAAAAAGAGAGAGAGAGCTGTTGAGTCGACAAAAGTAAAATTTCTGATTATGATTAAGTTTTGTTTGTCTAACGTTCAGTGGCAATTATTTCATTAAAATTAAGGACAAACAATTAACAAATTATATCAAAAGTACGTTATGCAAGGTATGAACAATCAGAAGGACGGGAAGGGAATTTGGACTACCACTTGAAAATGTGGGTGTGATGTATAAGGATAATAATTTCGCCTTGCAGCAGGCGATCTATGACCCCATAGAGATTTTTTTCGATGAATTTTTCAGAGAGTGTTAGTCTCAATTCTGCGCGGATATGGCTTTGATATATACTTCCCGTAGTGCAAAAAAAAAAAACAACAAAAAAGAACATTTATCAAGGGTACCGACATTTTTCGAAGAAAATGATGAGACCTGATTGAATAGCTAACCTCCAACCTGTATGACAGTTGTTTATAGTTCCGTTATATTGATAAATTATGTGAGCAACCCAAACATATATTATTGGTGAACGTGACAATGATCGGGATCCAGCAACCAAAATTAAGTAAACACACAGTATAGATAAACAAAACAACTTATTTAAAAATCCAAACAAACATACATTTTAGTTTCTCAATTGAATTGTTTCATATTTGTCATGTTGGGGCCTTTATAGCCGACCATACGGTATGGGGTTTTCTCATTGTTAAAGGCCGTACAGTTGCTTACACCCACTTCATTTGAACTTTGGTGGATAGTTGTCTCATTGGCAATCGTACCACATCTCCATATTTTATATACATATAAATCTGACAAAGACTCTAACATAAAAAGTTTATGTCGTTGAGACTACATTAAATAGCCAAACATAGTGTGCATCATACCTGAAACATACTCATAACATTATGTTATCATACCAAGGTCATTCAAGTTATAAAGTATGTCACTGGTTACTTATTACATATTTATATTATCCTGATGTATTCTAATCATTTTCAGTATCCGCGGTCA